GCACCGACAAACGGTTCTAAAAATTCGAGTCTTTAACCAAATACCTTCGTTTTTATATCGAAAGTAGAGTATGGCGAGCTGCGTCGAATGGCGCAAGAATGAATTTTCTAACTCATACAGTTTTTGAGAAAAGCTCAATTTACTGTGTCAAAAATGTCACAGCGTCACGCTTGGACAAGCCCTCTATAAGATACAACACTTTCTAAACTTCTACATTCCAGAGTGACAAAAAAATGGCCAACACCATCAGTACGGTCTCATGACTTATATCCCGAACGGGATATTTATCCTGATCGGCATATAGAGTTTATCCTGAAGGGGATAAACAAATTCCTCTACAAAAATGCTGAAAACTGTAGGTCTCTATCTCCCTTCGTTCTGGAGTTATTCAAAAAATAGCCATGGACACTATATTCTGAAATGGATAGTAGATTATCATCATCCGATACTTGGAGATCCTTAATCAATTATAAGCAGTTTTAAGTGCTCTATTCGATGGCACTTTTGGATCCCAGTAATCAGCTTTCATTCCACTTTGTTAAAATATAAAATGGGTCCCCAAAACAATATTCATTGTTTTTATAGATTGATCGGGCTATGCAGAATATCCCGATCAGGATTTGTAGCCCAATCGGGATATATCGTATAGGCCGATCGGAATTTTATCCCGATTAGGATATAAGTCATGAGACCGGACTGACCGTCATCCTCTAATGTCTTTTTTCGTTATCGCGAAACGAGCTGTTACAGTTTGATCAATAGAATGTAAAGCTTTAGAAAGCATTGTATCTTGTAGAGTGAAACAAACAGGTATGAAATAGAAAGTTTTCGGAGTTATTGTCACTGTTTTCTGATCGTTTTTCAGATGACTCCAAATTGGTTTTTAGAGGTACTTTTAAAATCATTGTATGTTTGTAAACAGCTCATTGTCCAAGTCGAAACATGTCTCATATGTTTCATGTATTCGATAAAGAAAGTTTCCAAATAGTTTTTAGTATTACTGCAATGACTTTTTGAAAGGAAACCGTTACGTGCCTAAGCCGTACTATCATGTATTTGAAACTGTGATAGTAATTATTATTCTTCTTTAAGATGTTAAAGATATGGAAGGCGACGGTGATATAACAAAGCCCGAAAAGCTTGTTGTCTTGCAAATATATGTTTATAAATGCATAATGAAAGTGGGTGTAGATCAGAGTTGAAACTGGAAAGGCCGGTTGAACTTTTCAACCCGCCGGTTAACATAGATTTTTTGCCGGTTTTTATTATCAGTTTAACCACACTTCAACCGCCCGGATGCTGCCGGTTTTGAATCACAAGCGAAATACGAATACTGTACAACAAAAGTTCGGGATGTCAACTAGAATCGCCCAAGGGAGATTGAAAAAAGGCAGTAGATCCAAAAATAATCTATTTAATCCATTTTACATTTGTCCGAACACTGGCGAATTTCAGATATAGATGAACACAGGTTAAAATTTTCTCCCACTATTTTCTTTCCCATTTCGAAAACACTCATCCGAAAAAATTTCCTTCTTCACGAAAAATTAACCCGAAAAAAAGGTTTTTTTCTTCATTAAAACGTGATTAATCTGTTCTTTTTCCTACTGAGTTCATACATCATCAGAAATTAGTCCGCGAATTTTTCTTCGTTAAAAGATGATTGTTCTATGCTCTTTTTCCTATTGAGTTTCATACGTTTATTATCGTTATATCTTCAGACTTTCGATGGCTGATGCGTTTTATTTATTCCACATTCTAACTAAAGAGACTATTAGAAAAAACCTTTTCGTATTGGGTTGAACTTCGTGCTCAATATCTCACGTTAATACTGAAATAAGCAGAACAGGAAGATTTTGAAAATACACAAGCTTAACTTTCTGCAAAAAATCGGTTTTTCACAAAATTCGGACTTTAATCTGCTATGGAATCGACCGGTTTATTACCGGTTGAACTACGCATTATAAGAGCTGGTTTATGAGATCGATCTGTTTCGGTATCAACGATAATTGTTGTTGTTAATGATATTATGTCAATCAGGGGTTTTAAAACAACGTGTTTTAGCTCAGTTTGTAGAAAATTGAATTTCCTATCTGATGTCATCTTCGTATTTCTAGGGGATTGGATTCCGAAAAGTGAATTTTGGTAGAAAAAATTTGTATATCATAATTCTTCACTTGATGAACCTCGTACAACATCAGTATTGAGTTTAGAAAAAGAAAAGGCACCTGATTTTGTTTAGTTTTTGATGATCTTTCGAATGAAGCATTGCTTGACCAGAACGGATAAAAATTGACGGAGTTATATCGCAAATATGAGATAGTACTCATTTTTGCGATTCTTTGATGCACCTCATTTTGAAAACTCTGTAACTCGGTCAAAGTAAAGTCTGAAAGTGAACAATTTTTTTCGTCACCCCAGTTTTGATTGTAGAATCTGAAAATCAAATAAAAATCATCTTTCAAATTTTTGCAGGTTACACGTGTTTCGCAAAATACTCCCTTTCCTCGCGAATCGTCTCTTAAACAAAGAGGTTGCAACTTACCTTGTAAGTTCGCCTAGAGATTATCCACCATGCCGAATCCAATGGTAATAGCAGTTTTCTTTAATTTGACTTTCATAATGGGATTCTGGAAAACCTGGATTTTGATTTTACAGGTCTAGGAGGCATTTTTTAAAAAATTCTACGATGATTGAAATTTTTATTCAATGCACTCATCGAATAGAGCACATTGTACTTAAGTAGTCGAATAGGTTAGGAATACATATCATTAAAGATACATCGTACACAACTATAACAAAGTGTTGTACCAGTTTCGAGAAACAGTGAAGATAACCGTGAGGATGCCAGCCGGTTAATGAAGTGTTTCGAATGAAAGTCTTCGTTTCACTATTCATTTTCGAAGAAGAACAAACGTACTGGCTATTTTTAGTCAGAGAAGATGATCTTAAGAGACTCCGGCAGACTTCATGGGATTTCAAGACTTCAGGAGACTTCGAAGTCCTGAAGTCCGCTTTTTCCCCCTTGACTATAAGTCAGCGTTTAGTCACTTAAAACGTTTGAACGCGTTAGGAGTTAATATGTTCATATGTGTGAAATTATTTAAAGCTATTTTATTCACTGAGCTATGAATTTTATAACTTTCGATGAAAATGGTCACAAATGGGTTTTTTTCAAATCTGAAATATTCTTCACTCAAAAAACCTGTTGGAAATATGGAAACAAAAATATTTTTTAAACTTATATTATGTGCAAAAAAAAATTCAGAGCAAAATAAACTTCAAAAGCTTAATAAATGATACAAATATAAAAGTCAGAAAAACGCACATTGAATAAACTATGTTAACTCAAATTGTTTCAATGCAGAAAATGTATATATTATATAAACGACTAACTTGTACAACAAAAATACTACACCTTCAATTTTACAAACTCTGTACCAAGTAATTCTGAAACGTAAAAAATGAGGAAAAAACATTTAAGGATAAAAAAGAAGAGGTTTATAACGCACTATAGAAACACTTTTGAGAGTTGGAATAACTCTCATTTTGAAGAGAACCAGTAACTCTATGTATAACTATGTCAACCGCAGTTATGAAAGTTTTTTTATATTTGAAGTACTTTATCAGCATATATGTATGATGTACCGTAATGTAAATAAATATGATTCTATGTCCTTTAATTCGTCTAGAAACTTTTAAATATGAATAACAAACGGTCTACTATATACATATGTGCATATAGAAATATACGATACAAAAATGATATGTCATTTTTATTTGGAAAAGTACCGTGAATTTTAGACTGTTAATGAACGTTTTCTCGGATAATGACTTTCAATTTCTAAAGTGATCTCTAAACCTGGTCCAATATCGGAAGGAGCTTAAAGAAAAATATTTTGTTTATAAAATATTCTGATAAGTAAGCAAACAAATAAATATATAAAAACTTACAGTCAAGAACCCGATTTGAATCTATTGCCTGTTGAGTTAACGGTTCTAAAATATATTTGCACAGTGAAATATATTTGACACACAACATCGGTTGTTATTAAAAAAACCTTTTTATACCGTTTGAATTCTTTAAAGTTTGCAATTCTGTATTTACACTGCAGATTCCTTCTGACATATCTTGTTCGAGAATATTTGGTTGTAAAATGAAAATAGAACCATTCGTACTGGATGACAGCGACGGTAGTTGTTCATCTGTTACTTTAAAAGAGACATTAGAAATGCATAGACTGCATGCATTGTACAGGTTTGAACATGAGAAATTAAACGGATCCGAGGGACAAAGAGGTACAATTAAAAAGACATCATCCGCAAAAAGACAGATTTCACAATTATATGGAAGAGAAAGAGGCAAGTCATTAATAAAAATAAGAAATAAAAGCGGCCCAAGCACACTGCCTTGAGGTACGCCAGAAGAAACAGGAGAAGGAGAAGGGATAGACTCAATCACACGCACACACTGTAAACGATTGGAGAGGTAAGATGACAGGAGAGAGAGTAAACAGTCATTCACACCACAGAAAAACGACAGTAATGCGACATAGTTATTGTGTTAAAAGTATAAGTACTTTTAACAGAAAAATTAATAATAAGAAAAACAGAGAACGTTATAACCGAGGAGAAACATATAAATTAGAAACTAGATAGCTGTGCTCGATTTTGTGCTCGAACATGCTGTTTATGTTTCTGAGAAACATGCGAGGCATTTGATATACAGATACGGCATTAAAAATTGTTGAAACATGTTGTCAACAATTAAAAAATTATGATGAACAATTTTTAGTATTGGAAAAAAATTTAGAACTACAAGAAAAACATATGAATTCAACAAATAATACGTCAATGTTATTATTTGAGGATGATGATTACGATGATATTAAACCAAATCAAAGTCAGTTAAGTACAATAACATCAAACAATGAACAACTACAACAACAACATGATACTTCGATGGAAACAAATAGTACAACCATGCTGTATGGTAAGTGTAAAAAAACAACAACAAAATCTAAAAGAATAAAAATAGTATTTGACTATTTTTTATTTCTTTATCTTTGAAGTAGATAGTACTAGTATTTAAATATTAATTTATATTTTAGAACAAAATAGTGATGAAAGTTTTAATCCAGAAGGATTTAAAACAATTACAAGTCCACCACAAATAGATTAAACAGGAATGTCATTGGCAACATTTATTAGTCGAGATTTCTCGTGTATTAATGAGAATGAAAGTATGATCGTTAATGATGATAATCCAATCATTAGTTTTAATTCATCAGCATCTATAAACGATGATAACAATCAACCTAGTGAGAAAAAAGAAAATAAATCGAATCGACGTGGTGATACAATTGAAGATGTTTTAGGTACAAAATTGCTCTTATTTGATTTTTTAGAGTAAAATAGATTTCTTTTTTATGTTAATTTTTAGGTGATATAAGTGAATCGGACCAATCATCGGATGATGATACTGAAAAAATAACATCTAAAAAGACACTTGATTCTTCGTCATTAGCAACAGTTTTATCCGCAGATATTTTTTCATCTAATGAAACGTCTTCAGCAAAAGAATCTCATTCAAAACATCGTCATCATAGTCAAAAACATTCGAAAAAACGTAGTTCATCAAAATCAATACAACATCCCGTGCAATCTAGTCTCTTGAATAATGTGGATGATGCACTACAATTATCAGAATCTGAAGAAGATTGAATTTCTTTGATTTGTAACATTTTTTTTCTATTTGTATATATTTTCTATGTAATTTATACTATATTTTTTTCATCTGATCTGATGTACTTTTTCTATTTTGTATCTTATGTCATAAGAAAGAAAACATTTCTTTTGTAATATACACCTTTTTAAAATTGACTCATTTTTTTCTGAGTCTCTGTAAAACTGAATTATTGATATTTTATTAAAACAGAACGTATAGAGAATTGATAACAAAATACTGAATCGAATTTGATTCTACTTTTGTTCAAGTTGTTGTATACTATCCTATATGTTATATTTTATAAATCCATTATAGAAGCAATTTGATAGGAAAAAGTACAGAAAAGAATGGTGTGAATTATTTAGTTTTAATGTTATTTAGAGAATGAAACTGAGACGATATTTTTTACTTTATGTATCCATTTCTACAGTGGAATTTTTCATTCTTCATATTTACACATCAATACGTAAGTAGTAAAACAACTATATTCTCAACAAAATAATGCACATCCAATAATGAGTATTCAGGATTGGATTAATCATTTTGGTAGCAATGCATTTACATCGTTCAGTCATTCTAAGAGGAGTCTTTTCTAAACATACCCTTAGAATTGATGAGTTTGTAGTGGACATCTTCAAGCGTTCAGGTGTGGAATAACGGGTGGATTGGATATGTTTTCATGGATTAGTGAAATTTGCAGAAATTAAAAATCGACTTTCCTAGCTGTTTTGTATCTGATACCAAACGCCGATACAAACAAAAGGACTCGGACTTGAGTTTTTGTATTTCGAGTCCGATCGATTCAAGTTTTAACATAAATGAACACTAAATCTCAACTGACATTGTTAAAATGTAATAGAAGTTTACTTTAGTAACTTTTTCTGTGTCAACAAGGTTGATGTATTAAATGGCACAGTAGAAAAAAGAAATAAACCACAATCATCAAAAAGGAATCTAAAAGATTATCGGACTCGAAATGGACTCGGGCTCACGAGGTGATTAAAAGCTTTTCGACTCAGATTATTTTCATCATGTAGGGAATAGTCAGCAGTGAAAAACCCAAGTTGGTTTGGGCCCATGCGCCTTTTTGACGGAGATATGAGTTAATTAATGAAAATGTCATTAATAATAATTAATTAATAGCTCACGACCATGATCAGCTAGGAGTCGGAAATTTTCACCACAGTTGAAGATAGATGTTGTCTACTCACTGCGACACTCTTAAGCTTATGAACCAAAGCTTTTGCAAGATATGAATTTTTTATGATTTAGACAGTTTTTAGTGAAAATTCACCATTGAAAACCTAAAAACTTGTAATCACCTTTTGAATACCTCTGTTCACGCTGCAGAAGCTCAGCGGCTCTTAGGAATCTATATCTAAATGAAATAAGTCTTTACTGAGTCGACAGAGGTATCTAAAAAGTGATTACAAGGTTTTAGGTTTTCAATGGTGAATTTTCACTAAAAACTGTCTAAATCATAAAAAATTCATATCTTGCAAAAGCTTTGGTTCATAAGCTTAAGAGTGTCGCAGTGAGTAGACAACATATCTCCGTCAAAAAGGCGCATGGGCTCAAACCAACTTGGGTTTTTCACTGCTGACTATTCCCTACATGATGAAAATAATCTGAGTCGAAAAGCTTTTAATCACCTCGAGAGGTTCCCTCATCAGACTCGGTTCTTACTGTTAGGGACTCGGACTCGGTCCGTCCCGGACTCGCCCATGCCTGGAAAAGTGTGGACCTTCTCTAGATGGTCAATCTCGGTGTGTAAAGAGCTAGGTGTGTTAAAAAGATTTCTTACTTTCCATTTTCTCCCGAACTACTGCATCAAATGAAAAAATTATTTCAGTATCATGATCACCATGATCATCATCGTCGAAAGCATATATGCTGTCATTTCCAGCAAAAACGGATGAGAAAAAAAGTGAAAGAAAAACATCGCCATTGAACAATCGATTGAGTCCTTAAAAATAATGATAAATGATAAACTACGATAGAGTTGTCGTAGCTTTTCTGTTAATCAGGCGTCTTTTCGATGATTACAGTATCACGTAACACAAACTGTACCAACTAATGCGTTTGAAATAGGTATAAGCAGAATTTGACATTTGACATCACTAGAAAAATGAAGTCACACGCCCAACATTGGAATAAACACACTGTAGCAATGGTAATGAACTCTTTTTCAGATTCTGGATAAATCGAAAACTTGGCCAATTTGAGGTTTTGTATCAGCAAATAGTTCGATTTTTAGTTCCAACAACAGACGAAATCAATAACTTTTGAAAACAAAAGGCTTAAAAATATCAAACACAAAAGGTCATTTACTATCAGGGTTCCCAGCTGAGGCGCCTTAATCAACTTCAGTAGAGCAGAAAAATGCGTTTACTATGGCATCTCAGCGGGGAACCAACAAGAATCTTTGATCTTCATTGAGTTCCGAATTATCTCTCAACTTGGAGATTCGATCCAGTTTCTGAAAAACAAGTGTGCATGTCAATGTGTTTTTGACCAGTTGACTAGTCAAAGCAAGAAAAGAAATAGGATTTGGCTGCTGATATTTTAGACAAAGTGGTGCCTGATGATCAGTAAGGTTTTCACGAATAGATGAATTCAATGCAAAACACATTATTTTATGCTTTGTAGAATGTTCAGTGCGGGTGACATCGAAATTGATTTGTGTTTAAATACCATTGAGCATTATTTAAAATGTGGTAAATAGGACTGAGCTCATGATCATCAGGCATTATTTTGTCTAAAATATCAGCAGCCATGTCCCATTTATTCTCTTGCTTCAACTGGCCAACTTCTGAATATGGCGCTGCACTAGTTTTTCCACGCGCTTCGTTTAACTTTTAAAATCAACATATCACCGACCGAAAAATAAAGTTCATGCAGAATGGCCAAAAAGTGCTTTTTCGTATTGATCACAGGCGATAACCCCGGAGATTTTGTATTTTTAGCGACTTGTAATACCAAAAGTTCATGAAAAATAAATAAAGGGTGCAAAAAATAAAGGGCCCTTTGGTGGGGTTTAGGGCACATGAAAGTACCCTAACAGACGACGTGACAACAAAAAGCAGGGCATTTCCATTTGCCGTAAAATTCGCGAAAGAGCGCTTTTTTTTCGCAGTGTTGACATGCCTACAAGTAACAGGGTAGTTTCCGTTAAACACTAGTTCGATCTCAGTAATATATGTGTAGTGGAAAATCAAGGTAATGATGATCATTATACCGTTAAAACTTTACGAAAAGATTTGGAACCTAGATCAATTGTTGAGGAAGGTGGGAGAATACTTGGTTTAGACCACTTCATTCAACTGGATGAACAAGCTACCGTCAGAAAATTCAAAGACTTGGAATCAATTCATGTGTATCTAGATGTACATTACAAAAGATTGGTATGTTTCCATATGCATATGGTAATGAAACAAAACAATATCAGCAGCGTCGGTTTCGGCGAAGTACAAGATGGGAATATAATCGACTTTTGATCGCCCGTGTTATGCCAGTAGTCACTGACATCCCTTCCTCTTTCTCATTTCTCGTGACAAGAAAGAATTGTTGAGCTGTTGTTGGAACTAAAAATCGAACTATTTGCTGATACAAAACCTCAAATTGGGCAAGTTTTCGATTTATCCAGAATCTGAAAAAGAGTTCATTACCATTGCTACAGTGTGTTTATTCCAATGTTGGGCGTGTGACTTCATTTTTCTAGTGATGTCAAATGTCAAATTCTGCTTATACCTATTTCAAACGCATTAGTTGGTACAGTTTGTGTTACGTGATACTGTAATCATCGAAAAGACGCCTGATTAACAGAAAAGCTACGACAACTCTATCGTAGTTTATCATTTATCATTATTTTTAAGGACTCAATCGATTGTTCAATGGCGATGTTTTTCTTTCACTTTTTTTCTCATCCGTTTTTGCTGGAAATGACAGCATATATGCTTTCGACGATGATGATCATGGTGATCATGATGCTGAAATAATTTTTTCATTTGATGCAGTAGTTCGGGAGAAAATGGAAAGTAAGAAATCTTTTTAACACACCTAGCTCTTTACACATCGAGATTGACCATCTAGAGAAGGTTCACACTTTTCCAGGCATGGGCGAGTCCGGGACGGACCGAGTCCGAGTCCCTAACAGTAAGAACCGAGTCTGATGAGGGAACCTCTCGAGGTGATTGTAATCATCGAAAAGACGCCTGATTAACAGAAAAGCTACGACAACTCTATCGTAGTTTATCATTTATCATTATTTTTAAGGACTGAATAGTCATTTTCTTTCCTTCTACCATTTAATATTCGAAGTTTAAGTTTGAAAAAAACGTTTTGTCCAGTTTTTTCCTTGTGGTCGTCCCGGGTGCTGACTTTGACTGTATCTTTCCACAGTGGTTTTGTATTTGTATAAAAAACATTTCTCTTTCATATGAGATGTGAATGGGTCCTAAGGAGGAGAAAATTTGAAAATACTGAGACTATAATTCTTTGTGCACCACCCGTTAGATTGAACTCTTCATACAGGAGGAAACCAGCTGTTTTCGCCATAGGCATTGGAAAATGGTCAATGAGTGAGGAAATTACCAACAATTTTCGTCAACTCTATTAACATTAATATTAACCCTTTATCTCTCGTAACTGATCATGACCGGTAATCAGTCAGTTGCTATCTTACCACGTAGAAGCGTGAAGTGGCTTTTAATCTAAAGAGAACAATCAGTAGTAATATTTGGCTGATTATTAATAAATTATTCAAATGCAACGGTAAATCGCGAAAACTCAAAATCCGCTCATGCTTCTGTGGACAGATTTCCACATCTTTTGCACACACTACTATTCTGTTTCTGTGTGAAATCTCTTCTAGCTCTGTCGTTATGAGACATTAACAAGTCGTTTCGACAGAATTCTATACTTCTTTTACGAAGTAGATAGAAGCAAAATCACTCTTTAACAGCACAATAGTAATCACAAATATCTTGAATAACAGTCCACTTCGTAAAATTCACATTTTCGTTGTTTCGACCGTTGATCTTATGCATTCCACGTTTTCAGTTACCGACACATCAACCATTCCGTAAAAAAGTGACTAAATTAGTCTTCCATATTTCATACTTGGAGATTGTGAGCTGGTAAAAACGAAAAACGTTCGTCATTTCGCCACAGTAGCCTAATAATGAATGAGACGACAATTAAAATTTATACAGTAGTCAAAGATTAATGATTTCTTCAAGATTATGTATGGACGTTTGTGACATACACATAATTAGATATAACTAATACTATTAGAAATTTTCGTAATCGATTTAAATCATCTGATTGAAGATAGATTGAGAAAATCGACTTTGTAGGATGTCCGAGCCAATTGAATAAGAAGATACATACAGCTAGTTAAAAAGAGAGGAAGCCAGATCCACACAAATAGCGAATATTGTATTATAAAAAACACGAAAGGTAGTTCAAGTCAATTTATTCTGAGCTAATAAAACTGCTCATCATAATAGAAAATATCTGGACATTACAGCAACCTCTATTACACCGGGCTCACACGGATTGTACACAATAAATCATAAAATATTTAAAATAAAGCCTGGGTACAAGCATTTTCTATCTGGAATATGATATCACAAGTATAAAAAAATTAACTCATGCTTTTTTAAATCAATGCTCGAGATTGTTGGTCTCAGGATGTCGTTGCAAGAAAGTTAATAGCTGATTTATTGATGCTGTTTCATCCTAGAAATACAATAGACATAAAAAACTGTTCAGTTAGTTCATTTACGATATACTTACACTTTGGTCTTCACTCTGCTGTACTATTTCTAGTCGTTTGTTTAACTGTTGTTCAAATGCATCACACAATTGATTATTCTTTTTTCTGAACGATTCAAAGACGTCATTTTTAGCATCAACTAATGACAGAATGGCTTCGATAATACGTATAGGATCTGGACAGGTTGGTGTTGCATAAAGTTTAATTAATTCGTCCAATGCACCATTCTCATAAAAATGTTCTACAAAAATAACAAAAAATAAATATACGAAAATCTTCTTTGAAATGCGGTGTGATCTCTTATTAAAGATCAGTACACCACTGATAACTTTTGGATAATACATTCTTTTTTTTACTCTTCTCGTACATAATTAATACATTCAGTGTAAAACGAAAATCTTACTTCTCATCTGTTGACTACTTGTGCACAAAATATTGATAAGAAAACATATTTTTAATTGTAATTTTGGGATTGGGGCTGAAAGTGCTTTAATAACAATTTTGAAGCCATTTAGTTTTTGAAATTGTAGCTGACCAAGGGTATAACCTCTAATTATGGCTAAAAGAAAAAACAAATATAAAAAATGTATGCTCTGTAATTCGACAGATAAATAAATATACCTGATATGGCTGTCAACGCTTTCGTTCGAACATCATCATTTTCACTTTGATCTAATATGAGTAATAGTTTTTGCATTAAACCAGACTGAACAACAATGCGTTGACAATGATCATTATTTTGAACTAGACCAGCAATTAACAAACATCCTTGAATACGTATTTGATCACTAATATGATCCAATAATATTGGCAGAATCTCACCCCCACCAACAGTAAAAAAGTCTAAATAACAACAAGAAAAATAATAATATTTTTTGAAACTAACAAAGATATTTACCTTTAGCTAAATCTAGCTCTTCTGCCCAATGGCAAAGTTCTTCGGCTGACACCACAATTTCTTCATCAGTTGACTTAGAATCTTTAATTTTTTCAATGCACGCTTTTAAACGACCAACGGGATTAACATTCAAATTATCGAGTGCTTCGGCTAACCACTCTTTTCGCTATGAAAAAAAGTATAAATGTCAATAATAGAAAAGCATGACTTCTTTTTAAATTTTAACTTACTTCATTATCAATTTCTTTTACTTCTGTATTTGTTGTACCATCAGTATTTTTTATTGTCCATTGAAAGACTGAGTTCAAAAAACTTTGATTGGGATCGGCCATTTCCAAATATGCTAGATGGCGTAAAAATATGAAAATGTAGTTTTCTAAAATGCAAGAAATTAATAAGATTTCAGTAAAACAATTGAAATGAGTATAAAAAAGTTCGCTGGATAAACTCAACTGTTTCAATCATACCCAATTAGGCATACGATTAAACAATTCTGGTCAAGAATCAAGTTATTTATAATGCTGCTAATAGAATGTTCTCATTGTTTCTCGTACTGTGATCAGTAATTGCAACATCATAATATGACAACATAATGTCTGTAGCAAAATTAGATATGTTGAAATGATAAAATGATTGTCCGAAGGATGGCGCAATGATTACAGTACGAGTTTGTAGAACGTACGTTAAAAGACCGAATTTTCTTAGGCATACTTTATAGACTATGATTAGATCTATTTACTCTAAAATGTCTTGTCTCTGTGAGTAGCTGATTCTTCTAGTGTAAAGTCTATAATAAAATCAAAGGGAAGTCATGGCCAAAGAACAAGAGTACAGAAAGCACGGAGACTCTTTTCATTTGACAATTTCGACCACTAAAACTTATCGATTTTCATTGTTTTCTCGTGACATCCTTTACACTGAGAGTAAGAAAACGGCTAAAAACTATTACACTTCAACAATAAAAATGGGGTATTGCTAAAAGACGCGAACACCCCCAAATTAAAATCTGAGTTAGCCAATCGATAGAGCTCGTCGAGCTGAGTATAGCAACGCCTAACGAACACCCAAAAAAGTTTTTATAGTTTCGCTTTTTAAGCATACATTTTGAATGAA